AACTGGATGTAGTACTCCAGCTGAGGCCTGACCAATGTCGCATAGAGGGGGAGGATCACCTCCTTCAAGTAACGCATTATCATAGACTATTACAGCTCCTCCGTCAGGGTAAGCCAGCAGATACAGAGAAAGGAACTCATTTGCAACCATGAGGCACAAGGTTTCTGTATCCCGTTGTGCTGATATGTCTATAATGGTAGTACTGATAGGGCTCAGCCAAAATTAGGGCTCTATTGTGTCAGGGCCTGCTGTAGTGTAGATTCTAAGACAGTCCCTACCCCCAAAGAATTTACAGGTATTTCCATTTAACTCTCATTTTAGGTGTAAGGGGAAATAGAGGCACAGAGAGAGTAAGTGACTTGCCCATGTTGGGCAAGTCGCACAACAAGTTGGTGCCCAGAGACCAGACTGTCCTAAAGGTCCCCTGCCTGTCAGCCCAGTAGGCCCTTCACCAGACCAGGCTGTCTGTCATTTCAGATTCAGAATCTAACATACACATAAGGTGGTAATGGGGAGAGAAATGCAAAACACTGTTCTGCAGAAAAAGTGTGGCTTGATTGTGGTAATCTCTATTCAGTGAGCAAAGCACCAGGCCACAGCATTAATGAGACAAATATTAAAAGGGGAAATTCACTGGGTAGTTATCAAAGAACTACCCAGGAGTGAGGGACAGAAAAGACCCGTTAGATCATCCTGCTTGTCGCCTGGCCTCCGTCTCCCTTCAGGATACTTCATAAGTCTTCATCCTGTCTGTCACCGCCCTCTTTAGGAATCTCCCCAAGGAGGAAGTTGATATATAGGACAAAGCCTTACGAAGATGATAGAGAGTAGATTTAGGTCCTGAGGAGATTTTTACCTCCTCCCTGTAGTTTTTCTACCTTTATTTTTTAAAAGCCTGATTATTGGCCACTGAAAAAAAGTTTCAAGGCAGAAAGTAAGTGAGCTTATGCCCTATGTTTTTGACAGAACAGGCAAAGGATGCCCAGGCAGGTTGATTCACTGAAGCCAGCGAGGCTGAGAGAGGCAAGCAGAAGTGGAACCAACACACCTCAATAGGCAACCTGCAGTCTCAAGAAAAATAAAAGTCCACATGCTGCCATTGGCTGGGCCTGTGTAACTCCCATTGAATCCTGGGCAACTGGGTGGGTGCCACAGAGTTGGACTGTGACCCTAACAGATCAGTGATCCAGAACTCAGCTTCCTCTTTAGTGTTTTTGTTCCAGCTAATACAGGAAACAAGATGTTCACATTTTTTGATTAACAAATGAATATCAAGAGCCTGCTCCCGTCCCTGTTGAAGTAAGTGGCACAACCCCTCCTACCCCCAACTACAAGAGGGACAGGATCAAGTGCTATGAGGTAGCAAAGAGGCTGCAATAAATGATTCCTGGGCTGATCACCCTGGGAGCAAACCAGGAACCTGGTAAACCAGACTAGTTTCTGTTTAAGGAAGCTGAGTCTGGATAGCCTGGTCAGTGGTTAGCAGCTGCCTGACTTGTCCAGGAAGACGTCCCCATGGTAGGACACTTCAGCTGTCTCAGACCCACAGCCTCATGTTAAGTGACATTTGAGATTTGGGGATAACCCCACCTCCAGGACAGAGTGTGATGTTCCAGGTCAGAACATTGATCTTATGAGATTTGTCCATGAATGGAACAGTCCTTCTCTTGGGAGAGACTGCCTGAGGCTTGGATAGGAAGGCTAGATGCTCAGCAGTCCCATTACATGCCAGACTGCCAACAGAGTTCCCCACCCAATACAATATGCCGAGCCCCATTGGGAGCCCAGAAAAGAACCAGACTGACTCCACTCCTCTCTGCTGTCCCTGCAGGCCACCTTTAAAGGCTGGATGGACATCATGTATGCAGCGGTGGACTCCCGTGAGGTAAGGACGCAGAGACCAGCTGGTCCCACCTTGACACCATGCCCCATGCCTGGTGTAGGCCTTGTACCAACACTCCTGATTCTGCAAGGCATACTTGGAATGCTGAATCTCCCAGCCAAGGAACCTGCCCCAAAGGATTGGTAATGATCCTGGTCATAGATGTACCCTGGCCCAGGGCCCCTGTGCTCTATGTTGCATGCTCCAGTATAGCCAGGCTGATCCATGTCCCACTTGCACTTGGACAGTGGGGCTCAGGCAGATTGGCAGCAGAGGGGCCAGGAAGAATGGGATAGGGCCCTTCCTTCCCTTCCCTCAGCTAAGCAAAGCTGGAAACTGGACTTTTTGGGTGCCCTGCTTCAATAACTCTATGTTCTGTAGGTGCCACCTTCTCCCACTGCTTCATAAGATCCCCAAACTCTCACTCCTGCTGCCCTTCTCTGTCTTCAGAGACCAGACACCAAAAATCTCAACCCAGACTTACAGGTTTCCTCTGGCTGACACACCTGTTCATCTTGATCCCTCTGACCCTATGCTCCCACTCTTTTTTTAGGGGGCCAAACCTTTCAGTTCCCACTGTCCCAGGAGCTGCTCTTGATCTTTCCATGCCACGGGCACATCACGTTCATTTAATAACTTCCAGTTGTTCGGGCCTCCTCTTCAAGTGTCAGGCTGGCATTTTTATGCCACTGAGAACCTGGGGCTTTTTATATTCTGAAGAAAGCGCATGGGCTATGCAAAAGCAGAAAATAGCTCTCAAAGTGAACCTCTCTAGAGAAAAAAAATGTTTAAATAGTATGATTTGGGCTCGTATGCAGGGGTAGGGAAAGAGATGACCTGCAGAGGTTGGCTTTGCACACTCATTAAGTCTTCTGAGATGCTTACAAAACCAGCCTCAGCTTGCACAAGACCCATCCTGTGCTCCCATCCCCAGAGTGATCTGAGGCAGACACAGGGGTTTCCTATAGCTGAACTGCAAAACCAACCAAGCTTGCCTCAGTTCCTTTCAGCACATCTTCATGATGTGTCACAAGGGCCCAAGACATAGTTTTCTCTTCCCTTTAAAAAAAAAATGTAATGCCAAGTCTGCTTTCTGGTGGAAGCTGGAAATCATGATATCCTGAGAGAATGACCCTTGGTTACAGCTTCCCAGAACACCAGAGGAGATGTTTAGGATCTTTGGTTGTTTTTTGCTAAGCTCCCAATAAACATTTTCTCCTTATGAAAGTGTCAGGTGTATCTCCTCCCCGTTGCCTGAGACTTGTCACTAGGGCCATTAATTCTCTGGAAAATCTTCCTTCAAACTCAGGAAAGCCCAAACTAATATTCCATTATATTTGCAAGGCTAAAAAAGGTGCAATTAAACAGATCCATCCAGAAAGTCTGGCTTAAATAAAGAAACAAAATTTGCTTTCTAGCAAGTTGACAAAATTTGCTTTCTGGCAAGTTGACTGCTGCATTTTTGGAGTGGTGTCTTCTCAGGAGGCTTAAGGACCAGATAGGCAACTCTCCCAGAAATTCCCATCATGCCTAACCTGGCATCTGGGCACATCATGCCCAGCCTGGCATCTTAATATCCTTTTTTAGGAAACAGAGTGAATGTTTCTGTCTCAGAGGGCCCAGTATGCGGCCTGGAGAGCTGAGGGTCACCAGGTGTCCCTGGGTACTATGAGTCTGTGCAGCATAACTGCCCAGGCTGTGTCACCTGGACTTATTCACAAAGGGCTCTCTTGCAATAGCTTGCAAGAGAATTACCTGTATACCACTCATCCTGTTCACAGAGGCACTACCACCCCAGCTCTCTGCAGAGAACACTCTGTGTTCTCCTCAATGGTCCTTTGCCTTAATTTAGGTATTTACTGCCCCTTGCCCCCCATGGTGTCCTGCTTGTCTTTGTCTCTGTTAGACTTCCTTGGAGACTACAAGGAGGTTATCACTTGGTAATCTGCCCAGTTCTTGACTATCCTCCATTCCCTGACAGACTCTGAGCAGCAAGACCAAGCTGCCTTCCTTGGGGCTCAAGACACCTTGACACCACCCCTCCCACCCAGTTCTAGTCATGAAGAGGGGCAGCAGCATCACACCATACCTTCCCTTAGGCAGTAGCCTGCTAGGGATGGAATTGCAATGCCCTTCAGTAGTCTTGCTTGCCTTCCTGTTTCCATCCATCCAGGGAGGGTGGTCCAGCACCACTTTGAATAGTTGTGTCAAATGTTTGGGGACATCAGTGTTTTCACCTCCTGCCGTGTAGCAAAAACTTTTCTCACACGGGGGGAGTGGGGAGCCTGCTGTGCCCTGTCTTTCACATTTCCCGTTCTCCCCACTCAGATTGAAGAGCAGCCACTGTATGAGACCAACATCTACATGTACATCTACTTCGTCATCTTCATCATCTTTGGTGCCTTCTTCACTCTCAACCTCTTCATTGGGGTCATCATTGATAACTTTAATCAGCAAAAGAAAAAGATAAGTATCTCCTGGGCCCTGGGACTTTGTTCTTGGTACTTCTGCGGCCTACAGAGCACTGGGTTGGGAAGAAGCTTTCTTGCACCTGGGCAGAGTGGAGGGCTCTGCAGGTCACCATACAGAAAAGACTTGGGGTAAAATGGAGCCTGCTGTTCTTGAGCCTTCTGACCCCTGTGGATTTCGTCACCATGCTCATGCTCACTCTTCCCAACACCCTATGCTGTTAAGTGAGCAAACTGTTGGAAGGAACCCGAACTGGTGCATGCACGATGTCATGCTTGAAACCTCTCCTTTTATGGTGCCTAAAGGAGGATCTTTCTCAAAAGAAAAACAGGGACAGAAAGGAGAAAGGCTTTGGTTCTGACTTGTCTTTTTATCATAGAGATATCAGCCATCCTAAGTTGGGTCTTCAGTAGCCTGCTGGAGAACTGTGATACAACCCAATGTGCAAAGGGCTTTGTGGCATTATGAAAGTACAGGGTTTCCATAAGGTTGTCCTGTAGCACCAATGGATCCCTTCTGTTCCAGCTGATAAGCAACTGTACTCTCAGGTTGATGCACGTGTTTAAGGAGTGGGACCTCCTGACAGTCTCCGTCCCTCAGAGGAATGATTTGTAAAGAGATTTTGAGAAGAAAACTCATTTTTCTTCCTTCCCAGATCTCTTCCTATTTAGTTTTCTGCAGAGTGGGGTTGGGATGGAGAATACCCTTTTGAGAGATCAGAATGAAACCAATGCTATCTATTTTGTTATTGGAGGAGGAAGAAGATGGATGGTGCCCAACTACACCAAGTTTTTTCCATGTGTAAAAGCTATAGAGGACTATGGGTAACTCCAAATGGAATGGGCATCTCCAAAGCAATTGGATAGGCAGGCAGCATGTTGTGGTATGTCAGGATCTGGCAAGCTGATAGGATCCTGTCACTGCAGGGAGCTTAGTAAATATGTTTGGTGAAAGCATGGCTGCAGCTAAAGCAAGTTATACTTCTGGATGTATTTTAAAAATACCTTGGGGAAGAAAATAGTAGGGAAAAAAGAGAACAGAGGATGAAGCAGAGAAAAAAACGACCCATTACAGAGCAGGAACCACAAAGAGAAGCAAATGGCTCCCAGTGGGGATGTCTACATGAGACGCTAACAGCACAGTAGTCTAATAATACTTTGCAGCAGTAAGTCACAACACAAACAGTGCTAATATGCTACTGTGCGGTATTATTAGGCTACTGCACAGTAGCATCACTAAAAAGGCATTCACTGGTGCTACTGCACAGTAACTCCAGTTACTGCGCATTTATTTAGTACCTGATTGTACAAGTACGCAATTAAATGTGGAGTAACTATTGTGCATGAACATGTAGATGCACCCAGCATGATCTAAAGCTGATATAGACAGTATCTGATATCCGAGTTTAATAATGGTGATTTTCTTTGTACTTTGGAGGAAAGGACATCTTCATGACAGAAGAGCAGAAGAAATACTATAATGCCATGAAAAAGCTGGGATCAAAGAAACCCCAGAAGCCAATCCCCAGGCCCCAGGTATGTAACCCCAAAAGTCTTTGACAGGAGTTGTGAAGGGAGTATTTTGAAAACATGACTTTTTACAAGCACAAGGTTTTAAAGTGCAGTCCAGTTGAAGAGGAGTCTGATTTCATGGCTCTTCTCAGCTTGCTGTTACTTCTCCACAAAGATCTTCTTGATTTTTATATCTGAATTTTCAGAAGAGGCCAGCTTGTTGGCTGAAATCTTTTGCAGACCCAGTCCTTAAGGCAGTGCTTCTCAGCTGGAGTGCCCTTGTATGGGTGGTGCAGGGTGACATGCAATATTAGCCCTGTTTGGTATGCAAACACCTACACGATGCACAAGATAAACTCAGACACTTCCAGTACGAAAGCATAGTGTCAAAAAATATTCTGACCTGTTGCAAAGAACTTAAAAGAGTTCATGCTGAACTTTCTGAGTTCTTTGCAACAGAAGAATTGCTGTATTATTTTCCTGTAGTCAAAAAATAAGTGAAAGCTAAGAGATTGCATTTCTGAAGGGGTGCCTTGGGTCTAACAAGGTTGAGAACCACCACTTTAAGCCCTGCAGTCATAATGGAACATCTAAGGCAGGGTTGTCCAACTGGCGGTCCATGTGCAGTCCATGAGGGGCCAGCTCAAGGTGCATGAGTGGCTAACATGTGGCCCATGGGCCCCTACAGCTGCCTCTCCCAGTGCCACATGTTGGAGAAGCTGCTGTTTCTGACCACTAGGGGTCACTCAAGGTCTCATTGCTCTTTTCAAGAGCCATGAGGTCCTCCTTATAATAACCCAGTGATTTTCAACCAGGGGGCCAGGACACCTTGAGATGCTTTGAGATCCTGTTAAAGGTGCCACCGGGTACCACAATGTTAGCACAGTTAGGTTTACAAACATGATTCACAAGTGAAACCCAGAGATTTCTAGTACAGCTCTTCCTGAGTTTGTTGCAATAGAAAAACTATTATTCTTCCATCAGCCAAAAGAGTGAAAACTAAGAGCTGCTGTTTTCCCCAGCATACCTACAGTCTATCAAGGGATGCCTCAAATTTAAAAAGGTTGAGAACCACTGTTAGAGACTGGCTTCAGATCCTTACATTCTCTGTCTGCTTATATATCGTAGGAGAGAGGCAGGAGAAATATAAAAGGAAGAAAGCTGAGCGGGAGGGATATTGGGCATGGACTAGGAGACAGGGCAATGACCAAGGAGGGGAATGGACAGTGAAGGATTGGCAGTTTCCCCACTGTAGGGGACAGAGAGCGCATCTACATGAGATGCTACTGCGCAGTAGTGTTGAGGGGCACCGTGACAGTGACACTACTGTATAGTAGTAATGAACTACTGCGCCGTAGCTCATTGCTACTATGCAGTAGTGTCAGAAAAAAAACATGCAAGGACAGTACTGTGCAGTAATGCTGGTTACTGAGCAGTCATTTAGTAGGGGGTTATGCAAGTACTGTGCAGTAAATGACTGTGCAGTCCGCAACTCGTGTAGATGCGGCCAGAAGGTAAGTGTCACCTCCTGAGAACTACCAGGGGAATGAAGTACACTAATAGGGGAGGGCAAATCAACCTCAGAGCAGATAAAAAGCCTACAGGGGGTCTTATGGAGTCTGAGCCACGGTGTGCAAGCAGCTGGCAGTAACTGGTAGAGCGCGATTCTGGGTGTAAGGCATTTCTGTGCTCAGCATTTTTTTAAAGCCAATCTGGCAGATGCCCACTGACTCTGTGAGGGGAAAGGGGAGCCTTGCCTACTGGCTAGAGCAGGCTAGAGGGACTCAGGAGACCTGGGATCTATAACCTATGCTGCCACTGGCCTACTGGGTGATGATCAGCATCTCTATGTACCCCAGTTTCCCCATTTCTAAAATAAGGACCATGATCCTGGTCTCCTTTGCAATGTGCTCCAAGATCTACTGAGGAAAAGCATGATTCCTGAGAAACAGGGTCCAAACACCCCTCTCTCCTCCTATTCTCAGTTTTGCATTCAACTTCATAAAGGAAATGCTTGTTTGTTTGGGGTGGGGAAAGCTTGGGTCTTTCTTGTTAGGGATTCCATTCTTGTCTTCAAACCATTCTGTCTATTCTCCCTCAATATAGCCTTTCTGGCAAGAGTGCTTGTGTTGTTTCTCCATCTAAGGAATACTCTGTTTAGCTCATATATTTTCCTTTAAGCATGCATATGTGAGCCTCATTTGAAAATCCACAGAATTAAAGCTCTGTATCTGTCATAGCCAATGAGTTCTCTGACACAAACCAGGCTTTTCAGTGTTTTTTTTCATGCCAAGCCTTGGAGTGAAACCCCAGTTACTTTATAGTCAAGAGAGGAAAACTTTCAAGGACAGCAGTGGCAACAGGACCTCACCTTTAGTCATTTGCTGTACTTTCATTGGGATTTTCTAAAAAGGTTAAGAGAGATTCTTCTAAAAATTTCAGCCTTTAAAGTATCTGTGGTAGTTGCTGAGCACTTGTAAAAGGAAACATGGGTTCAATTCAGTTGTGGCTTTGATTTTTTTTCAAACCAAACAAGACGATTGAGAATTTTTTGTAAATTAATTTGACATGACTAAGGAGCTTTAATTGGTTTAGCTATGAACCACCTTAATGAATAAGTCACAGGCCTTTGGCCTTGAGCCAAACACCTGTTAGGCATATCATTTATGACACTGTAACATATGTCATGTGGATGCATCAGCTGGGCCGCATCAGGGGTTGAGGGCTAACAGCACCTTCTGGCACTGTAATTCTTGTTGCATGACCACTGAGCATGACAAACCGAACAGTTTTCTGAACTCTCTTACACTGTTTCTTTCTTTCTCTCTCTCTCTCTGTGTTTTTGTCTTGGTCCCATTCTGTTCCATGTACGTCTGTCCCATGCCTTGTCTCACTTTTCTGTCTTCAACTTCCTCTATGTGTGCCATTGATTAAAGAACCAAATTCAAGGCGTGGTGTATGACTTTGTAACAAAGCAAGTGTTTGACATAACTATCATGGTCCTGATTTGTCTTAACATGGTGACCATGATGGTTGAAACAGATGACCAAAGTGAAGCCAAAATCGAAATTCTCCAGACTGTCAACCTGATTTTCATCATCATCTTCACTGGCGAGTGTGTGCTCAAAATGTTTGCCCTGCGCTACTATTACTTCACCATTGGCTGGAACATCTTTGACTTTGTGGTAGTCATTCTCTCCATTGTAGGTAAGTTCCTGACTCCAAATGCATTTTCATGCCTTCAGGCAAGCAAATCTAGGTGGATTTTATAGTACGTGAGATAAAGAAGAAATGGTCTGAAGATGGTATTGATACCTCAGTGCAAGAAGCACTAACTCTCCCATCATCTTTATAATGGGTTGGAACATGACTCTCAACAGGGCCAAGTAGAGAGGCTTGGTGTGGCCCATTCCCTGTGCCTTAGCCCTGCCACAGATCCTATGACTGTTATGATAATAAGAGCTACTTCTGGACTGCTGAGAGATCTACACTGTTCTTCTTTAGCAAGTTAGGCTTCTTTGGCTTTTCCCTCTGCTCCTCTTAGCTCCCCTCCCTAGCTACAAGTGGGTAGATATCCAGGCTGTAGAAAGGAGAATTCATCCCCCTCCCCAAAGAGAGGACTCTGTGTGAGGTTATCTTGTTAATATTGCCCTGGAAAATGCTGATGCCACTCTGGTCTCCAGTGTGGTGGGTTTCAGAATTAGCATCTGAAGGGGGTGCATAGAACCATTCATTCCTTTCAGAGCAATTTTTTAGGCTGTCTTCAGTCTCAGGCAAATATTGTTGTATCAGCTACAGTCAGCCCACATTTGTCATTTCTTCACTTCTATGAGACCTGGGAACATGATTTTATAGAATTACATATTTATATATTACATATTGTATATTATAATTAAGATTCACAGTACCCTGGAAGCAGGAGCCCTAGATATGTGGTTCTTAATGGCTAAGTACAGATAGTCAAAAAGCCCAAGGCCGAATCAGTTCAATCTTTTTAGGTTAGTTTAAACTGCACAGATTAAATTGAAACAGAAGTGAACAGACATTTACCTTTGATTCAGGAAATGCAGCCACATGCCTTCAGTGGCTCAAGCCAGAAGCTGGGGGGTGCTAGAGCATGGCTCTCTGGCTGTGTGTTCACTTCCTCTTCCTACTGCCCCTGAGGTCTCTGGGATTTGCAGTCCAGAATTATGGCAGTAGAACTCTGCAGGTTGTTCATTACTTCCTCTTCCTGCTTCCAGGTGCCTCTGCGATTTGTAGTCCATAGTTGCAGCCAGCAATAAGTTTGAGTGGGGGAAGGGGTATTTAACCCCCTTCCTTTGCCCCAGACCCCAACTGTGGTTTGCATGGGGGGGCAGTCCTCCCCCCACACACACACAGACCAGGCTGCATCCCTAGCTGGGCTTGCCCCTCCACCCCCACCTCCTTGTCAGCCAACCCTCACAGCTCCAGCTAGGGAGCAGAGGATCGGGGCCAGCCCTGCTCTCTGGAGTAGACAGCACAGCCCAGCCCAGGGCTACAAAGCATGCTGGGATGCTGGGGGACTGTGATTTAACTTGAACCAGGAAGGGGTCTGGGACAGAAGTTTCATAAACTGGTTTGACCCAAATCAGTTAAGTCTGATACTACATTCAACCAGGTTTATCTTAAATCAGTTTCTGCCATTTTGAAACTGGTCTATGTGCACCAAACTTCTGTTCTGTTAAAGGTTTAAACCAGTTTCTGATCACTTAAACCAGTTTATGTGTAACTTCTGTCCCTAGCTATTCTGGCCCTACTTCCAGATGTTCATTCTAAATATCTCCTCCTTTTGTACTCACAAAAAACTTCCTTAAACGTGAACTCCCAAGTGCTATTCCCATATCCTTCCATACATGCTGACTCTCAACAGCTATCCAGGAATCATCCTACAAGGGGAGAGCACCCTTCTCTAGGGGAGAAGGGGAGTTTATTATACTGAAGAGTGCAGGGGCATTGCTTAAGTAATTTTTCAGAGGTCTTCTTCAGGCCATGAAATGTAATGTACTCTAGTAATGCCTGTTTTCCTCTCCTGCATCCCCTTGCCTCTTCTCTCTAATGCTCTGTACAGATAGCATATATAGGGTAGGTTATGCATTTCTTCACTGCCTCAGCTACATCAGCCTGCCAAATTTACCTTCTGTTCATCCCGCCCTAGGTCTCGTCCTTTCAGATGTCATTTCGAAATATTTTGTGTCACCCACCCTCTTTAGGGTGATTCGGCTGGCCAGGATTGGGCGTGTTCTTCGTCTAATCAGAGGAGCAAAAGGAATCCGGACTCTGCTCTTTGCCCTCATGATGTCCCTACCAGCTTTGTTCAACATTGGACTTCTGCTCTTCCTGGTGATGTTTATCTACTCTATCTTTGGGATGTCCAACTTTGCCTATGTGAAGAAGGAGTCTGGGATTGATGACATCTTCAACTTCGAAACTTTTGGTAACAGCATCATTTGTTTGTTCCAAATCACTACATCAGCAGGATGGGATGGCCTCCTCAACCCTATCCTGAACAGCGGCCCTCCAGACTGTGACCCCCATTTGGAGAACCCTGGCAGTTCAGTGAAAGGAAACTGTGGGAATCCATCTATGGGCATCTGCTTTTTCTGTAGCTATATCATAATTTCTTTCCTGATTGTCGTGAACATGTATATTGCCATCATTCTTGAGAACTTCAATGTTGCTACAGAGGAGAGCAGTGAACCCCTTTGTGAAGATGACTTTGAGATGTTTTATGAAACATGGGAGAAATTTGATCCAGATGCCACCCAGTTTATCACGTACAGCACCTTATCTGACTTTGTCGACACCTTACAAGAGCCACTTAAAATTGCCAAGCCAAACAAAATTAAATTGGTCACCATGGATTTACCAATGGTCCCCGGGGACAAAATCCACTGTTTGGATATTCTGTTTGCTCTGACAAAAGAAGTCTTGGGTGACTCAGGAGAAATGGATGCTTTGAAAGAAACAATGGAGGAGAAATTTATGGCTGCAAATCCATCCAAGGTTTCCTATGAACCCATCACTACAACTTTGAAAAGAAAACATGAAGAAGTATGTGCCATAAAAATCCAAAGAGCCTTCCGCAGGTACCTTCTAAAGCGGTCTGTGAAACAAGCCTCCTACCTGTACAGGCATAGTAAAGAGGTGGACACCCTATTGGAAGAAGCACCAGAGAAAGAAGGACTGATTGCAAGCAAAATGAACTGGAATTATGGGACAGGAGAAGTAGAAACAGCTCCAACCCTGTCTCTTAAACCAGTTCTAAGCTCAGAGACTCCGGGTGCTCCCAGTGAAGCAAAAAAATTGGATGAGAAACGTAATGTGAAAGAATCATTTGTATAATAGAAGTTATTTTTCATCTTACTTTCATTGCCCAGCCTGAAAAGACTCCATTTGTATCTCTTCCTGCAAAGAACACTTTCATATCCATATCTGTAGATTATAGACATTTGAGCTAATGATGTATGTTACCACATTTCAGATATTTAAAGGATACATCTTAACTTTTTTAATTGAATCTCTTATTGGGGATAGTTTTTATAATTCACCACAACTGTGCAACAAGTTTAGTATTTTTCTTATGAGGTAAATGTGAAATCTGTTGCTGGTGAAAGTGAAACATTTAAATTTTTTAAATGATCTAATCTTCGTAACAGTGGCCCAAATGCAATTCCCCCTTAGGCTAAGTGGCACGTAAGTGCCTAAAGGTAGATATATATGTTGCCTTAAGTGCTGCTTACCTTGATTTTAGATCTTGCTTCTACATGCACTAGATTTGTCCTTCTGTAAGCCCCCAAAACATTAATTACCGAAAAACCACTACTGGCCGTCATTTCCAGAAGATGACCATCTTGTCTCTTTTAGCCCAATAGCCTAATGGTTATAATACTTGCTCAGGAAATAGGAAACTTGGGCTCTATGCCTTCCATGACCACATCCCCACATGCAGGGGTGTGCACTTGCAGCAGCACAAAAAGTAGCAGCACAAATTTGTGCTGCTACTTTTTGCCACTGCTCACACTCCTGCACATGTGCTGCAGTGCAGGCCAACGTGCTGCCGCTTCAGGCAAACTGCCCGCTCCATGCTTTTCCAGGTTTGTTGGAAGAGCCAGGGCAGACCTAGAAGACCCAGCCCCCTGTTGATCCACTGCACACTCCTGTAGTACACATCATGCCAATTTTTTTTGCTGCAGGTTTTTTGATACCAGGAATTCCCGGGATCAAATTTTGGCACTGCGCTGCAAATTTGTAGTGCAGTGCATGGTTGCACACGCACCACACGTGGTGTGTTGCACCTCAGACAGGTGTGAGGACCACAAACCACAGGTGCACGCTCGTCTGGATATGCTCTATAGGGCTAGCATAGATTGTTTGCTTTCCGAGGTAGAATTGGATCACCACAGAGTAGGTAGCAATAGTGGCCACACCCAGACATTTGGTTCCCAGGGGACAAGTAGCAGTGGCACACCTTGTGCCACTGCTGCTTGTCCACGGGGAACCCCTGTGCCACGTGCACTCTGGCACACAGCAGGTTACCCTGGGTGGGGAAAGGGAGGTTGGGTCCAGCAACTGTGCTGGTCCCAGCAGCCTTACCTAGGTCCTGGGGGCCAGGGAAGCTGCAGGCACAGTGCTTCTGTAGCTGGGAGCCTGGCCAGGAGCCAGAGTGTGGCTCCAGTGGGCCAGGCTCTGGTTTGGGGCAGCGTGCACTGTCACCACATACACTGTCCCTTTTTTTTTGGTGTGGGTTTTTTTGACCCCAGGATCTCCTCAGTCAAAAAAAAAAAGCTCCATGCTGCAAGGTAGCAGCACAGGGAATACCTGACTGTGCAGCATGTGGTGCCATAGATAGATCTGTGGTGCCACATACTGCACAGCTGGACTCATCTGGATTCAGCCAGTGAGTCCATTCGGAGCATGCTTAGTAATCTAGTTTTGCATATGGAAACTGGATCTAAAATCTGTGAGTATCTAACTTTAGGCAGTTAAATGCTACTTAACCACATAAAGGGGGAGCTGAATTTGGGCCTATAAGTTGCAGATATTTAACTATTGTTTACGGCTCTCCTTTTCAAAAAAACACATTATTTCTTAATATTGTTTCACGATCAAGACATGTTTGTCTATTATTTTCTATGGAATGCACTCAGTTAGCTAGTGAAAAATGAGCCAAGTGAAATAGTATTAAAAATAATTGCAGAAGTGGCAAGGTTTTGTGAACAAAAATCTCCAATGTCTTAAAGGTAGCACCTTTCTTCTGAATATTTGAATAGGCGTTAAAGACTTTTTGTTATATATGGTAAAAGTGCAATTATGTCTTAAAGATTTGTTTGCATAGTATAAGAGAAATCTGCAGATATATTCTCAGGGTTAAATACTGGTTTTTAAAGTTTTCTGAATATTTATCAAAATCGTAAAACATTCAGCTCCCTACAGCTGAAATGTAAACTACATTTATATTCAGGCTTCTTTGTTTTCCCATTTAAATAAGGAAATAGATTATATGGAAGGAAAATAATGGGGGAAATGGTGTATGGTGAATATTTCCCAAGAAATCTGATTTGACTTGTCTCTATAGAAACACCTGAAATGTATTTTTAAAAGACCTTGACAATAGGGAATCTCTGGTGCAAGGGATCTTTGTTCCCGGCAGTTATAAGGGTGTGCCTGTATATTATCAGATCCAGTGATAAAAACATGTTTCTGCCCTGGAATACATATAATGAACTGATTGAAAAGGTACCTTTGGTGGTGTAGAGGAGAGATACCCGCTATCTACCACAGAAAGCCCTCATATTTTCTTATCCAAGCAGTTCATGACACCCACCTTGAATGAACAGAACCCACCGGGAGAGTCCATGGCAGCACAAAAGATATGTGCAAAACCTTAGCTAATAAAACAAAGGCTGTGTTTGGAAATGCTGCTTCCATTTCAAATGCATGTGGCCAAGTCCACCTCCCACATAAACAGCTTCTTCTTGAGGTTGGGAGACTCTTACAGTACTTCCCTTCAAGGATGACTTTCTGCTGTGGAAACAGCTGTGGTACAGTTTTAAAACAGGACTTCCTAAAAGGTATTTTTTTATTTAGTCCTTTGTCTTATCCTATACATTGACTTGCTTCAGCAGTGCTGTCTGGCATCAGGTTGTGCCTTGTGTTATCGGGTGCACTGTCTAGTCTGGTTCTAGTCCGTGCACCTATTTTGTTTGCTCTGCTTGTTTTTCAGTTTGTTTTTGAGGTGTGAACCATCCAGCATGACAGGGACATTTTGAGCAGAAACAATGGTTTTCCCAAAGGCCCTGGGGCTTAGCCAGGTCTATGGCAGTTGGGACTTTGTTTAAATCTATCACAGAGATTAATGTTTCCAGCTCCTGTAAAAATGGATCTTGAAAGACAGCACTGGTAGTATCCGCTTTTGCAGCTCCAGCTAGAGGGGATCCAGTTCAAGCAAAATTCTTGTTAACTCCATTGAAGTCAATGTGCATGGACATTTCCAAACCTATCATAGCATGGAAAGTGTTTTTCATATGTGCCTTCGCTGTTTGTGTGCAGAGTGGGCACCTTTGTGCAATCACCTGATTTATTCATCAGAATAAAACACTTCTCAGTGGGTGCACCTACATGAGCGATTAGCTTGAAGCAATAAACTCTGGTGCACTTCGCACCAGAGAAAACAGTTCCTGGGCTCAGCATTTATACATGCACCTGGGACCGCAGCAGTTAGAGCTAGGGTGCAGCATTCTTGGGCTAGCAGCAGGCACAGGGGGTCAGCCCTGGGCACTGAGTAGCAGCGGAGGGCTAGCTGGGGCACAAGAGTGCCAAAACTGCAGAGCTGTGTGGCTGGTTTCCCCCCTACACACCTGTTGCCAGCCCAGAGCTGCCCCACCCCAGCTCAAATTGCTGCAGCTATGGGCAGACAGCAGGCTTGCAGGGGGCTAAGCCACATGGCTCTGCAATTTCAGCACTCTTGTGCCCCAGCCAGCCCCTCCACAACCCTCCGCCACTACCTGGGGCCTAGGGCTGACCCTCTGAGCCTGCTGCTAGCCTGGGACTGCAACAGTTTGAGCCAGGGTGGAACAACCCCAGACTGGCGGGGAGCACAGGGGTCAGCCACAGGCTCTGAGTGGTAGCAGAGCGGATGGCTGGGGCCTGAAGGTCAGGCTCCTACCCTGCAGGCTCCCTCCCCCTGGCTAGCTGGGCTGAATGGGCTGACCAGGGGCAATTTGCACCCAGCAGTCACCATCTATGCATGCGTTTAATCACATGTTTACTCCGCCATAGGATAGTACTTGTCCCCAACAGTACTATCCTACGGTGAAGTAAATTAGTTTACTGCAGCCTAATACTGCTGCATGTGTAGACAGTGATGCTTTACTGTGGAGCAAATTAGTCTACTCCACAGTAAAGCACGCATGTAGATGTACCCAGTATGCACTTAACACAGCACCAAGAGTAACCCCATTGGCTGCATCCAGACAAGCATGGACATTTGATTCCCTAGGAGCAACTAGCAGCAGCATACCTCGTGCCACCACTAGCTGTCCCTGGGGAACATCCATAACACATGCACTCTGGCACATAGCAGGTTATTCCAGGTGGGATAGGGGAGGCTGGGGCTGCACTGGGCTGGTCCCAGCAGACTTATCTGGAGTCCTGGGGCCCTCCCAGGGCTGCAGCAGTGGCGATCCTGCTGCTTGGAGCCTGGCCAGCAGCTGCAGTGCAGCACTGGCTTGCCAGGCTCTGGTTTTGAGCGGCCCATGCTGCCCCCCTATTGGCCGCTCTGCTTTTTTGTGCAGGTTTTTT